AAGATGAATTTCTTTTTCTTTTTTTTTTTTTTTTAGCAGTGGAGAAATTGTAGCCTTAGGACATGTTGCTTTGACAGATTGGGGTTATATGGTTGAAGGTGGCCTAGGCAGCTTCCTTTCCCTTCTCCCTCCTGGAAAGCAAGATGAAGCACATGTGATTGGAAGTGGCTATCATTATTTTGATGTTTATCTGCTGGAAGGCCACCAAAGTAGTCAAGAAGGACCTGTTACAGACTTTACTTTTCCTTTTCCTTTTCCTTTGAGGGATACTTGAAAGTTCAGAGAAGAACCTGTAGAAATACAAAAATAGCACCTTTTTAGCTGTGTGGGAGGGAAGCAGTTAATCACAGCAATGAACAGGGGCACACTTGCACAGTCAAGTAAGCGGTTCTTAGCAGATCTTAGAGACCAGCAGTGGGAAGAAGGGTGGATGAAATAGGAATGTAGGAGAGAATAAATGGAAATGAACTGAAGAGAGAAAATAGCATCGTATTTAGAATCTGTCACTTTATCAGAATTATGTTGACTGGTAATTAGCAAAAGAGAAGGGAATTTGTCTTTTACATGAAGAAGGGTTTTGTTTCCCCTTCATTAGTTGAGGAACCTCCGGACAAGGATTAGAGCAGAGTATTACTAAAGGGGGGGGGCTTCAGACACTCACTTATATCTGCAGGAAAGAATTATTTTTAACCCAGATCTGCTCAGTGATAGCATTTGTAGTATGGCCCTGCAGAAAATTGTACTGGCAAGACTAAGGATGCATCATGCTGGTATGTGAGAATGGGATTGAGAGGTCCAGGGTGGGAATTCTGTAGGCCGATATTGCCCCGACACCTCTGTATCATGCGAATGTGCCTTAAGTTAATTGTTGTCATCTGACCTCAATCCATGTTATAATAGGGGCTTTGCCTAATCCCTGGAGGAGATAGTTCCTGTTCCAAAAGATGTGATGTTTGGAATTGCCAGAATAGACGAGGGAAGCATTGTCATCCCTTCACAGACGGGAAATAGAGGCGCAGAGAGATTTGTCCGGGACTCACAGGGTGACTTTGACAGAAATAGTACTTACAACTCAAGTCTCCTGGATTCATTTGTGTACTACAACCACAAGACTGCCCTTCATTTGTAATATTGGATTTTTTTTTCTCCCTGAATCTTCAATTCTAAACCAGGGCTGTTTATCAAAAACGTGATTTCATTTTGCTCTGTTTAATAAATATGCTAGTGATTCTTTCCTCAGACAAAATTGTGCCGCTTGCATACGCAGCAGAGTATGCTTTGGGGAGCTTCTGGTGGATTTTCACCTTGGGACTGCCAGGGAGATAGCGCAAGGAAAGGCAGAGATGCGATTTTGGCTTCTGTTTTAACTTATCCTCCCAGGAGTCACAGGCCCCCTGAAGGATATGTGTGGAAGGGGAGCCTGCAAGAGTAGTAACGTTGTTCTGCCCAGCTTCACGTGGGGAGAAAAAGAAAATAAATAATTTACTAAATAAAGCATCCATTTTCTTGCTTGAGCTTATTAACTCCAGGAAGGCCAGTGAGACTTGGCATTGCATGACCAAACTGGGGTTGTTTGGGTTTTTTATGAGGCAGCATTGAGTGGAACCAGCTGGGTTAGGAGAAGACCACACTTCTGAAACGAGCCTTTAGGAATACTTGAGTTAAGTAGCTGTCTGGGGCACCACGCTGAAAGGAAGGGCACTCACAGCTGCATGTATTTAATGGGTTTATTTTATCTCTGATGACAAAAGAGAACTTACTAGTCATGTGGTTCCTCATAAATTTCAAGCTACTGCTGACAAGTGGCACTGCCTGTGTTCTCAGCCATGCTGACGCAAAGTTCCCCCAGCTTTCTGGCTCGCTATGTTAAGAATGATGCTGCTGATGGACGATGCTTTAGGTAGATAGCTAACTCTTATTTTAAATTAAATGTAATCCCAAGGGTTTTGAGAATGGAAACTTTTCAGTTACCGTGCTCCAAGCTAGGTATCTGAAGGAGTATCTTAGCTGAATACATCCATGGTGCTTATCTAATATCAAAGTGGCTTATCGCTCTGGTTCCTGAGGCTCCAGGCTACCTAATGATGCGCTGTTTACTTTCCCATGAGCTAAGTGGTTCTCCACCTCTGAAAGCAATATCCTTCTGGAGAGCTAAATACAGTTTGGCAGCATAAATCTCGGAACGTCAGTGGTGCCTCTCAACTCGGCAGTTTAAGCTATTCGTTTGTAACTCAGTTCCTTTCTGTGCGTTTTTTAATTTATGCGCTTTTAGGGCAGCTTCCCAAAGTACCTCAAGGTGCCTGGTTTTGCTGCCAGTATTCTAGTTTCCAAAGGCACATCTTGTTTCCATGTTAGGATGCCAGTTCCCCTCTTTCGTGCACTTTTCTATGAGACAGAACTGGAAAGTGGCACATCAAATTCAGTATAATTTTTAAAAATGTAATCTATTTTACTGGGCTTTCCACTCACTGAGATGAATCTTAGAGAGAAATCACTCATGGTAAAATATTTGCTGGTGCATCACCTCTACTAAAATAATAGGTTTTATAGTCCAGGTGTGAAGAAAGAGATTCTTGGTCCTTAACCTTTTTTCAATCCATGTCCTGTTGAAGCTGTCTCTGTTTCATGAACCCTGGAAGCTTCATACTCTATTTATTAATTAGATTTACTAATAGACTCCTAAAGTGCAGAGAGAGAAAAAAGATGGCCTGGACTTAGGCTTACTGCAGTGAGGTTAATATCAGCTGTGCCACAGACATCCCTTTGATTTTATGCACCTCATTTAATATTTCTGGTACCCCTGTCTGTAAAATGCAGATACTAATTCTTCTTTCTTTCCCTGTCCGTACCTGTGTAGACTGCAGGTTTGGACAGGAATCAGCTCCTCCTGTCTTTGGATGCCTGGCAAATGAGTCCCTGATTTTAGGTGAAACTTCTAGGTGCTTCTCTAAGCCATATAAATATGTGGCTTCAACGTGCTTCAGGAAAACACATAACCTTTGGATTACATTGATGTAAATAAAATGTCCACTACAGTTCACAAGTCCAAAAATACTGGTAGTGGTTACCATCAGTGTCTGTCACTTGAACATCTGGCATTTATCATTGCTTTCCTGTTCCTTCCACTGTCATATTTTATCTCCATCTGTTAGAGGTTTCTTAGCACTGTTTATATAAATCATAGCTGCATCTCAGTCTGGGTAGTTGAATCATTATTACAGGCTGCAATGTAAATGAAGGAAAAAGAGGTAAACTTCAGGGAGGTGTTTCTCACTCTGCTCCCCTCCTTCCTCCCATCTCCCTGTATACAGACGATACACTAGACAGTATTACTAGACAAGCAGTCACTAGTGTGACACTCCTGGTATGGAGAGATTGAAAAGCTCCCCGCAATGGCAAATGTTTTTACCAGGCCTAGATACAAAAGCAGGAAGCAGGAGGGGAGTCAGAGCCTCAAGTGACACCTGTTGCCAGCGATGGAGAGACCAAAACTTACTGCTTTGGAACAACCCTTCAGCAAATTAATAGTGGATTGGGAACGCAGACATTCCTGGGCAATCAGAGTTCCTGGGCAATACCTGTAATGAATTTTCTTTACATTCAGTTTCTCTGGTCTTGTTGCAGAGATTTAGGTGGCCACTGGGAAAAATAATATTGAAGGCGTTAGGAAAATGTGGGTGCATTAATTTTAGCTAAAGCAGTTTTTTTTCTCTCTAAAAGGTGTGCAGAACCCTCATAATGGCCATCACATTTAGCTCTCTCAAGTCTCCCTGGCAGTGCAACAAGCCATAGCAGCACGGCAAAGGTGCGTTTTTGGTGGGGAAATGATTCCACTGTCACCCCCTAGACCATGGAGCTCAAAGAGCCTATGTTTGTTACCCTGTCAAAACTAGGTGCTCCTGCTGGTGCGCAAGCTCATGCAGTCCCATGAGCTCGGAGCACATGGGTATTTAATTCCCCGCCTACTTCAGCAACTAGAGAAGATACTTCCTTGTTCTAGAAATACTCTGAGACACCACAGGCCTAAGCTATTGGAAGGCAGTGAAAGAAAAAGGCCCATTAATTGTCTGGAGAGAGCTGTTAGAGGCTGCCACTCTCGTCAGTCCCAGAATTTTATCCCAGGCTCATTGTGGGCCAAAGCTGGAGGGTCTCTTTGTACAAGACAGCTATCATATTTTCAGTTCAAGGGTCTGTTTGTATTGTAGTGGACTTCATTATACTTGGAGCAGCAAGAATGTCGTATGTCACTACGTATGTTGCTCCTGATAGTCTTCTTTTTTTACCCTTTTTAGTCTCATATATCAAAAATTTTTCTTAAGTTCATTTGAAATGATAATGCATCAGCTGAAATAAGAACAAACTCTTGGTACTCATTGTCATCTCGTGCCTTCTCTTTCTACAGAGCATATTGTATTCCTGATTTCCCTTTGGTTTTCTCTTATGCTATGTTGTTATTCTGCTGATGTCCTGCAACTCGGTGCAGGCTCCCAGATTTCAGCTCTGCAGCCAGATCAACCAAGCTGTAAGTGGCCTGGTCAACAAGTGCCTGAAGTGAAAGTGATAGGGCCAGGTCAGCAGTGGAGCCATCATTGGCCAGTCCTGCAGAGCAAGTCTAGGCTCACTCAGAAGGTGCATGGTAGTGTGAAAGGCCAGGCAGTCCCTAAAGCCAAAGCTGCTCTGTGAAACGGGTAGATCAGTTGAATTTGGAGGATTTACTCTGACATTGCAGCCTGTTGCTAGAAAGTGATGTCCTAATGAAAGAGTTACTCCTTGGCATGACTAAAACGGTGGGCAATGAGAAAGAGGAACATGGGCCAAATGTTGCACAAACTACTTAGCATTAGCGACTCCAAGAAGAAAATAATCCGGGAGTACAGGGGAATGGATGCTGCGATGTTGACTTACTCTTGTCCTTTTGGTGTCTGCTGCAGATCTCACCTTGCCAAGCATCTTTCTTGTTGCTAGCAGATTATTTATTTTATTTTCTCTTCTTCTTGTAGAAAATTTTACTACATCACACTGCTGAGGGACCCCGTATCTCGTTACCTCAGCGAATGGCGTCACGTCCAACGAGGAGCTACGTGGAAGACATCCTTGCACATGTGTGATGGCAGGACACCAACTCCTGAAGAGCTGCCATCCTGCTATGAAGGCACGGACTGGTCAGGATGCACGCTGCAGGAGTTCATGGATTGCCCATATAATTTGGCCAACAACCGCCAAGTGAGGATGTTGGCTGACTTGAGCTTAGTGGGCTGCTACAACATGTCATTCATCCCAGAGAACAAGCGAGCACAGATCCTGCTAGAGAGCGCAAAAAAGAACCTCAAAGACATGGCCTTCTTTGGCCTGACAGAGTTCCAGAGAAAGACTCAGTACCTGTTTGAGAGAACTTTTAATCTGAAATTCATCAGGCCCTTTATGCAGTACAACAGTACACGGGCAGGTGGGGTGGAGGTAGATAATGACACCATACGGAGGATTGAGGAGCTCAATGACTTGGACATGCAGCTCTATGACTATGCAAAGGACCTCTTCCAGCAGCGCTACCAGTACAAACGGCAACTAGAGAGGATGGAGCAGAGGATAAAGAATCGGGAAGAGAGGCTTCTTCACCGGTCCAATGAAGCACTTCCCAAGGAAGAGACCGAAGAGCAAGGGCGCTTGCCCACTGAGGACTACATGAGCCATATTATAGAGAAGTGGTAGCCTAGGCAGACTTTTATATTAATGAGATTCTAGGGTTTCCATATAAAAGATCATGGAAGTAAAATTACAAAAACAACAAAAAATATTTTATTTAAAAGCAAGTCTGTAAAACAGAAGATAGATTGCTTCCTTCAGCATAGGGTCTTTTTACTGTTTCTTACAAGACCGATGAGATTCTTAAAAAAAATAAATAAATACATAAAAATAGAAAAGGGTCAACATTATAAGGCGGAGGTAAAAAATGCACAAATGCAGTTACTGTTACCCACTCTTAAGGCCAAATACAAAAGAACGTTTCTTATCCTCCTGACTCAGACGTAAAGGACAGAAGTAGGATTTTTTTTTTTAATCTGTTTATCCCCTGAGCATAATGATGTGAAGATGCATAATTAAAAAACAAGAAAAGGGAGGTTTTCTTCTGTGGATATTTTTGGAGGTGGGATGGAAATTGTATTGTTTGTAAGTAAATGGTAACAGTGACTAAGTTGAGGATGTGCTATCCTGTCAGGCTGTGATCTAAGCACAAGGGTTGCTGCTCAGTTTCCGCTGGCAGCCGCTGCCAGAAAATAGAGCATCATAAAAATAAAAGAAGAAGAAAAACATCAGAGGATGAGAAACATTAAAGCAAATTGGCTGTGGCCTGGGAGATGTACTTAGCACAGTGGTTTTGATACATTGCACTGGTATCACATATACATATGCAACTTCACTGTAAAAATAATAGGGAATTCATGCTCAAAGCTCCCCAGATTTGTTTCACAAGCGGGTCCCAAAACAAGTTAAAAGCCAAGCTAATTCCACATAGGCTCAGACACGCCATTCGTCACCCTGCACAGCTGCAGTTCATGCCTTCATCAGTATAATATGTTAACAGCACACGCAAACCCTGTCCTACATATTAAACAAGGGAGAGCCAGTTAAATAGCAATGCTGCCTCATAGATCTGCAGGGCCAGCTCCAGGAAGACCCTGCAAATACTCAGTCATTAATGGCAACATGATGAAGGGGTGATTTTGTTTTGTTTGTTGCTATGTAAAATACCTAACTGCAACAAACATATATATGCACCCATATCTGCGATAAGTTAGTTTTGCTTGTTTTTATCAAGAAACAATGCGTATCAGCCTAGTTCCAATGAAGTCAGTAGCAGTGATTTCAGTGGGAACAGGATGGGGCCCTGTTCTAGAGCTATAAAAATTTCTGACTATGGGTCTGAATAAATTATGAAACTGTGCACATTGTCTCCCAGCAGAATGCCTATTCTGCAGCTCTTACTTTAGATGAACAAGCTGTGTTTATAAAACTGGAAAGGGGAATCATGGAAAATGTTTTTTTAGTCTCAGACCACTTTCAAAGCAGAACTCTTTCTCTTTTAATGCTATTTTTTAGGGACTCATGTAAGTTTAATCCCCCCAATGTGGTGACAGTCTAACCAGGTTCTGCTTACTGACTTTTGAGTCATAGAACAACAATGACTTCTCTAATTCCTCTTCCCACTCACCAAATTAAAGTATGGCTTATTTTCTTGCTGTTGCAAGCACTTCTTTGTTCAGCTGGAAGCATGGAAATGAAGCAGTTTTTGCCTGCTTCATGTCTCACCCCATTACTACTTAGCCTCTAAGGCCTGAACCAGCTATTGTTTAGGGTAAAGTATGAATCAGATGGAATATGATTTGATTTTTCAAAGGCCATGTTAACTGTAGATCAAATACGGCATTGAAGGAGGAGAGGCAGAGAGATGATACATTCAGCTTCAGCAGTCATGTTTACAGAGCAGCTCTTTCTCATCACACAAGTCCACTGAAGTGCTGCTTGTTTTGTGTTTTAAATCTCTCTTCGCCTCTATACACTGTTTCCAGCAGTTTCAAATTGAGACCGAGTTTTGCAAAGGAGGTGGCTGCCCTCCGTGCAGGAGCTGCCTTGTTTCTCCTGTATGCACCCTGGGGGCTACACCTTGCCTCTGGAGATGTTCTCCAAAAGAGTGAAGATGACTAAAAAAATTCAGAACAGAACATACAAACAGCACATTGAGTTAAAATACAACCCTGTTACAGTCCTGAACCAAAGTCCACTGAAGTCAAAAGATGTATTTCCCATCGATTTCGATTGGCTTTTGATCAGGTCTGCAGCCTGGTGCTGGAGAGTGCCTAAGCACATGCACATCTTTAAGCACAGTAAGACGTTGTTACCCATGCATTAGGCTGTTACCAGGATTTGCTGGTGGTGTTGCTGTCCTTAAGGGTCTGTCAGTGCTTCTGGCAAAAACTGGCCCCTTTTCCAGAGGTGTATAACTTGGCCACGAGCATTTGCTCCTAGCTGAAAATGGGAAGCAAAATGAAGCAATTTTCAGATGTTGGCTTGGGGGCAGAGGGTATTACAAACCCATTTGGTCATCTCTGAATTCCAGGACTGGGAGGAGCCATGTTTGTTAGTTCCCATCGCTTTTATGTGTTGCTGTAACTAAAGAAAACATTTATATTTGAAAAATGCAATTTTACAGGCTGTTTACCCAGAAAACCAATACACGAGATATAAAAAGCAACTGTTTTATATGCACAGTTTCCAACTTTACCCAAAGGCTTTCACTGTGCGTTCTGTGTTATGGATCCATAATGCACAAATGGTTACTACAGCTAATCCCTGTTCAAAGTGCACATCGGAGCAGCTCCGGAAGAGGGCATGCTGCGAACGCTCAGGCAGTACTGCAGATGCTGGTACTGACTTCTGAGAACGATTCTGTCCTGAAGGCCAAATTCTGCTCTCGTCTACCAAAGGGTGACAATAAATAGGACTGTGTACAATCTCAAGACTGATGACATAATTTGGCCCTGTGTGCCTGAGTTGTTTCTGTGTTATGGGCTCTAAGTAACCAGCTGGATTTTAACGGATCTATCCGCAGGGTTCTCTAAATCAGAGGGACCCTCTGACCTTAGAAGCATGTCAGTAGAAGACCTTCTTCCAACATTTTCTTTGTAATATATTACAGTAACAAGCAAATGAAATGAAACTACAGAGTCTTGTTAACAGTTTCACTTCAACCCATAAAAGGAGGTCTGACCTCAGCGCAGCACTGAGGCAGAAATTTCTATATTCAAATCCTGCTCCTGGCAAATTCCTCAGTTTCTCCACCTGTACATTGGGAATAACAAATTAACTCACTGTAGAGGTACTCCGAGGTATAGGAAGTACAGGTCACTTTGAATTCTAAGTATGAGTCTAAGTATGAATACAGAAAATGAAGAGAGGTGACCCAAAAGCCATCCCTCACCCTGGCTGCTGTGCCGGTGTGTTTAAGGCTGTAGGCCATGCTTTAATTTATTGTAAGTGCTGTGTGCCAGAGCACAGGTTGCAGGACATATTTGGCACTATTTTCTTCCTTTCGTGGGTTTAAGGGAACTTTTTTAACATAATGTGAATGTAGTTTATTGTGATTTTATATGTACTACAGTTTGAAGTGGTACCTTTTTTTTTTTTAGGACTGATTATTTGATGCTACAATAACATGAAAAATGTATGTGTAGTTTTAAAATGAATGGAGAAAAATGGCTTTAAGGCACTCCAGTGAAAGTAGCGGCCAGATATTACGTTCTTGTTAAAAATATGCCCCTTTCTTCCAGTATGTTTTTCCTGAGACTTCCGGATACCCTGAGACCTTCTTCACTGCATGAAGTGGTACTTCACGGGGCCAGTTGCTGCTTCATGATCCAGGTCAGGATAGGTGAGTTATAGGTAGAGTGAAGGCAGGTACAAGACTGTGACTTCCCAGTGAAGCTGGTGAGACAGTTCCCCTTGAACTGAGATTTTACCAGGCCCTGTGACACTTTAGTGCTTGTCAGTCCCCACAGGCTTTCTGCCTTGGTTCTGGGGACATCCCCTGAGAAGTCTTTACAATAGCTGGGATCGTGCAAGGTACTTCTAAGGGTTTATAGTCAGTGACATTAGTGTGAGTGCACATTTTGGACAGCCAGTTGATGGGCCTTAGCCTGTGCTGCCATACACCGTGCTGACACTTGCACACCTGCAAAAGAGGGGTGATGCTCCGCATGGGGAATTCCCAGCCGGACTCCATACCTGCTTTGGGTAGGTGGAAAAGAGAACACGCTGCACAGCTCAGAAGAGCGAGGTCTTTTCGCTTTTGTCACCTGAACAGCGTTAACCTCACTGCTTGATGAGTGTTGTTACTGAAGAATATTTTGTTACTAGTTTGTCTTGTCTCAGCTGGCTCCATTGAAGGAGTCTGTCTCCTACGCAAAGGTTTGCCCTGCTGTCAGGTGCTGCCTTGTACCCTACCCTGGCCACAGAAAGCAGCGTAGACTGCTGTGGTTGCGGACCCGTGCTGTTGCTGGGTACAAAGTCGTTGAGGAAAAGTTCTCAGCAAAGGATCTGTGTGAATTTCTAGCTTGCTTGAATTTCTCCCCTTATGCCCAACATGTTGGAGTAAATGGGGAATACTTTAGGTTGATGTTTTTGCACCCCATAGTCCCTTGCTTGCCAAACTGGAACGGCAGCGGAAGCAGCGTCAAAAAGGCTCCAACAAGCTTTTCAATCTTCTCTCACAGGGATGTCCTGTAGGAGTGAGAAGGGCAGTTCAGTTCCTGAGAATACGCGCGAGACAGGAGGACCACCACAAGTGGCGGTAGGGACACATGCCAATTAGAAAATGCACTTGTGACCCTGAGCCCATCAGATCACTTCACAGAGACCCCTGAACAGCTAAAGTCGGTAATGATTTTAGGTCATTACAGAGCAGGGCCTGACCTAAATTTATATCCTGGGGTGAAAAGCTTATCTAGCCTCTTACTGATTTTTGAGCTACTCAGACCCCCTCCTATTCCGTAGAGCTTTCTGAATGTCACAGAAATGGGAAGCGCTACGGTAACGTGCAACACAGACTATGCCAAACGTTGTATTTCCGAGGCTATAGCTTGGAATGCAGCTCACATTCTCTGCTGGATTCAAGTCACAGTGCAGGCTGTGCTATCTTTTTGTTCTTGTTTTTGGTCATATTAGCATATCACGTTCCAGTGGCAGAAGTGAATGCAAGCCACACACTGCCTGATCAGCAGTAGAGCCAGGCCTTTAAAGCACAGATCAGTTAGCAGTAGTTCCAGGTAAATCAGCGAGCAGGGGAGTTTGCATCTGCACACACAATCAGAGTGATCTGTGGCTGCTTGTTTTGCCCCATCTACAGGAATTCTGCCAAGGTGAATGCAGTCCTGATAAGCACCTGGGTATTAATGCCTGTATTGTCCCAGCTGCAGGTGATGTTTTTCTCTGTAATGTTTAGCCATATAAGCTGGAAAAAAAAAAAGTAATTTGCAAATAAGTCTTTCTCTTCTCTCAAAGCCCCACAATTCCCCCTCCCCATTTTCCCCCAGGTGTCTATTCTGCAGACTGGATTGAGAGAGTTGTACTATAATGAATAATTTTATATTCAAATAGTTTACTGAGCATGATTTGTTTTGTACATATTGGAATATGATTTAACTTATTTTTATTGCCCCTTTTCATCTTAAGCTTTTTTTTTTTTTTTGTTAAGAAAAGGTCAAAAATCCCCACCCTCTCTCAATGTGAAGTTCCTCTGTGCTTGTGTGTAGTCTGCCAGGCAAACATGCAA